TTCTTGGTGATACTCTAACGTAACCCCACCTCTTCCTGACCCACTCTAAGAGCCCCCCAGACCTCCTCATTGACCATGATCTGTGTTGTCACCATCTTCTTGGGACCAGCCCCTGGTCCTCTGCCCTTCGACTGGGGCTGCCAAGAAGGGAGCTTCCAGGCACAATCTCAGCCCTTGTGAGCACCCTTGAGTCTGGATCTTGGGGCTCCCTGCTCTCCCTTCCCCAGTCCTGTGCTGGCTCCAGGGAGCATCTGACCCTCAGAACCCCTCACAAGCCTGGAGTCTCTAGTATTTTAAAGGTTTCCCACATTGGACATGCAGCCTCCAACAAGATTGTTTCCTGTTCCTTAAAATGTTAGTAGAGCATAAAGGGAGCTCATGGGAATTTGGACACCCAAACAGCGGCTCCTTCAAGACTATGAGATCTCGACGAGCAGAGCCTAAGCTTACTGCTTGCCACTCCCAAAGTGAAAGTGGTTTTCTGGTGACCTTTTAACTATCTTCATCCTCTAAAGTGATTTAAGTTCTCTGTGAGGTGTGCCTTAGAAGAAAGACTATGGCAAATTGACATCTGAGGACTAACAAAGGCTGTGGTGAGCACTTGTGGCCATCACCATTTCCCCCCGATAGCTAGGACCATGGTCTTCCCTGGGAGGTGGTGAGCCACTTGAGAACAGGGACTGTGTGTCCCACTCACTGCTGAATCCGTGACACCAAGTTCAATAGAAATAGAAACAGTGGAGACCCCAACACGGCAGATGTCCAACCGCTCAAATAGTCAAAGCAGCTGATCCAGAGAAAATCACTTTGGGAACCTTGTTGAAGAGAAATCTTAAACCCAAGCCCCGATCCCAGCTGCTGCTCGCTTCTTGAACTGAATGGTAATTTCACCATTTCCCAAGCCTCCAACCCTTCTCAGGCACCATGCCACAGGGAAGCTTGAGCCTTCTCCCAGCTCTGGTCTCTACCGAGCGCCTTGGGAGTCAGAAATCTCTGTGGGATGAGGATCTGGGGAACTCAGTGCCACTTGAAGGGTCTTCTGAGCCTACAACAGGTCTCCTCCTAGGGCGAGTGGACTGGAAAGCAGACAGGGTTGGGCTAGGGCAAGGATGCTGGGCAGGGGCTCCTGGGGCTCCTGGGAACCAGTGTCGAGCGCATACATCACAAGTGCTTATTCCATATAGTTCCTGGGCACACAATCTCCGACGTCTCCCCCAAGGAAGTGTAGCTTCTCTTTCCCAACCGTTTGCCCCAGGCTGTGCCAACCTCCGTTCGAGCCCCCTCAGGTTTTAGATTCTCATGGTAGCCTGCGTGTAAGGGGAGGAGAGAGGGAAACTTCCAGAAGGGTGGAGGGATCGAAGATCCTGCTTCTGTGGAAATCGCCGTATGTCCCCCTTTGCTCAGCCCCAAACCTGCCTCTCTAACTGGACTATCCAGTTGTGTACCCCTCAGTGGGAAACAGGCTATCGCTAAGGTGTGATATTTCTGGGTTTAAACAAAAAGTCACTGAGCTGCCAGAGTTGGGTCTGAGAAGATCTGGCCGCCATGCCTCAGGCTGGGAGGCTGGGGGCCTCTGACTACGGGATGTGAGAAGCTCAGATACTCCCACGAAGGGCGCCTGGACAAGGTTGGGAGGGAGGGAGGCTCTCAGGAAAGACACTTGGGCTTTCCTCGGGGCAGCCCAGAACCGGGGTCCCAGCAGGTCCCAGAGGTCCTGCCGACAGGCTGGAGATGAGCGTCTCCCCAAGGAATGCCTGCACAATGCCACCTTTGGCTTATAGACTGCTCGCTCCAGCCTCCTCTGCTTTTCTTCATTGGTGTTTACTTCAAGAGAGGCTGGTCCTGGGTTAGGAGCAGAGGGGGTAGACCACGTGTCTGCACACACAGCATAGAACATGTTACGTTTCTACTCCCAGTAGGAAAGCTTCTCTTGCCAACTCAGCGTCTGGTCCACTCAGCTCCCCCAGCCTCCTCTGAGCCTCTGCCTCTCCCTTGAAGTCCGTGCTCCACAACGGCTGTCTTCCCCAGGCAAGGCCCAGCCAGTTGGTTCCTTGGGCACTTCTCTCCTTGCCCTGATTTCCCTCTGACTCTGGTTCCCCTAAGTCCAACACGCTTTTTGCCCCCTCTGATCCCCTCTTTTGTATGTCATGATATTTCAAGTACGTTACTTTTCTCTCCGGTGCCTCTCCTGGCTGTCCTCTCCCTCCCTCCATCTCTTTCTGCAGATTCTAGCTCCTTTTTCCTGCCCACGTCTACCCAAAGTCCGAAGTTCTCCAGGGGTTGAGACTTGTCAAATAGCCCTCTGTTGGGACCTCTTTCCCAGGAGGGATGGATAAGGGCAGGAGTGGCGGGGAGGGAGTGGGGTCACCTGACTCTGGTCTTCCCTCTCAGACTCCCAGCTGGGGAAGGGACAACCTCCTTTCCTACCAGGCCTTGTTTCCGATTGCAAGGACGTGCCACCTTGGTGGTACGCCAATGTCACCACCCCTTTCCCTGGTCCCTTCCCTGAGTCTCCAAGACTCCCCATTGGCCATCACCTGGGCTGTCACCACCTTCCTGGGACCAACCCCTGGCCTCTGCCTTTTGACACCATTTGGGGCGTGTTCAATGGCTTCCTTGGAGTGGTTTCCTTTCCCCCAACCTCGGTGCTGCTCAAGATCAGGACCCCGATAACATGCGTGAACCTGTGGGAGGTTTTTCGTATTTGTTTCTTTTCTTTTTTTAGACTCAAGTCCCGATCGAGCAAAGCGCATGCCAGCTTCCAACTTCCTGGCGGGTCCCAGTGAACACTCAATATTTCCTGATTGATAGGATTCCCCCAGAGCAACTGCCAAGCGCTAATTTTCTCTGGCTGCCGTGTATGTGTGTAGGCCACAACGACAGGGAATGCACGCCTGAGCCATCAAGTCCGGACCTTGGGCTTCTGTTTCCCTTCTCAGCACATCCGTGTGCCCTCTCTCACTACGGACGACGGTGCTCGACTGCAGGAACTCGGTCTCATTCATCTTTGTATCCCCACTGCCTAGTAGAGCTCAGCAAATATTTGATAAAACAATGACCTTATGCATGGGTGAAACCCTGGACAAATGCCAGAAGCTACCAGCCACAGCAAGATCAAAAGGGGAGGGAGAGACACCCCTGGCCAGGACTCCGTCCCCTGCCAGGATGCCTGGCAGATGGGCTGCTGGGAGTTGCTTTACTGGGAAAGTCTTCTGAAGGGACTTTCCCACACAATCCCCGGTCCCGGTCTGCTGGGTGAAGACGTGCGAGTGTGCTCCAAGAGCAACGCCAGAATTCAAAGACCCTGTGCCCTCGCCCGGAGAGAAAGCTGCTTCCGAATCGTCCTGCGTGGCTGCCACCGGCTGACCTACGTGGGGAGCCACGTGTCGTCCTTCAGACCACGACCCTTCTCGAGCCTTCTGATTCCACTTTCCATTCCTGTTCACCGCCCGTCTCCACCCGGGGCACGGGGCCTTGGGGCCGGCAGAGCTGGGGGGACAGGAGCACCACGTGAGGGGCCCGGAAAGAGCTGTTACACCACCAGGGTGGAGGGAGGAAAAAGTGGCGGTTGCTCTCTCTTGCGGGGGGTGTCCTGGAGCGGCCCGGTAGGGGTTTTTGAGGGAGGGGGCCGTGCCTTGACGCCCCTCTCTCTCTCGCCGGTCCCTGACATGGCCCGGACCCACAATTGTCCTGGCAGCCTTCCTGGAGGGGGCAGCTCGACCTCCTCCTCAGGCTAGGAGTCGTTTGCTGGTCTCTCTCAGACCTGGCTACCCCTTGCCCTCCCTGGACGGGTCACCCCGGCTGGGGTTCGAGAGGTTCGGAAGGCCTGCAGGCCCGCCCCCTCCCCCCAGGGCTCCGTCCTGGATGCTTCACTGTCCACCATTAGAGGGGTGTTTCCTCGTCACTGAACCGATTACTGGTAAGCTGTAATTTCTTTCTGGGAAGGATTCTCACTTCCCATCCTTCTACCCCACCTTACCCTGTTTCCCTTCCTTTCTCTTGTTCCCGGGGCTGGGCTTCTGAGAGGGAGGGTAGGGAAGAGCGGACACAGGGACGGAGACGAGAGAAGGACACTTCTGGGCTTTCCATCCTCCCCTGTCCTGCCCCAGCCGGCCCCTGTGCCTCTCTCTCAGCCATGACCTAGGAAGGAAGAAGCCACCTGGAAGCTTCCGGGGCCGTGCTTCCAGCCCCGGCCAGCGTGCGGCTTCTGCCCTTCAGCGCTCCCTACTCCCCCCTACCCCGTGCTGCCCCCCCCCCCCCCCCCGCCCGTGGCCTCTCCCAGGCCCCACCTTTCTCCCTCCCTTTTCCTCCCTCACCCACCCTTTCTCCACTTCCCCTCACCTCCCCTCCCTCTTCGGGTCCCTGGCCCGTCTTGCCATGGGTTCCCGTTTTAGCTCTGACTTTCTGTGCCTCCATCCACCCTGGACGCCTCGCCTTCGAGACTTTTCCCCTCCTCCGGGGCTATTCATCTCTCGAGACGGCTCTCTTTCACAAGGGCTGGGGCTCAGGCGGGTCGGGGGTGGTGGGGTCAGTGGAGGGTGGGGAGAAGGACTTGGTCGACACAGCCCAGACGGCCTTAACGCCCCAGGCCTGCTTCCTTTAAGCTTCTTTAGGCCCAAGGCCTGAGTTCAGTGTCCAGCTACGGGGCATCTCAGTGGGCCAGGGGCACCTCCGAGTGCCAGCAAACCCTGTACAGCATTTCTATTTAGCCGTATATACACGTGTATAGGTGCAGTGTTTTTAAGGACCTAATAATTGAGAAGGTGGGTTTTTGCTGGTTCCCCAGCTACCCAGGGGCCTCTCTGAACCCTGGTCTCCCCCTTAAGAAATGTGGGAACCGTGAGGTCCCTCCCTTCAGGTCAAAGAGCCTCTGCTCCCCTCAGGAGGGCAAGGGCAGTGAGTGAGACGGTTGAGGGGACCAGGGGCCTCTCGGGCTTCCGGCCCCTCCCCCACCCTCCAGTGGCAGTTGGCTGTGGTTGGGGTTTCCAGGGCGGCCGTGCAAGGCTCTGAATGTGCTTTGGCAGTTGGCCTGCGGAACATCCCCGTCTCCCGTGCAGTTCCCGGGTGCAGAACTCTCCGGAAGCAGGGGCTTCTAAACGGCTCAACCCAGACCTCCCGCTCAGGCCGGGCTGCTCTGCCCCCAGCGGTCGGAGGCCAGGCAGCCGCGTCTGAAACTCACTGACTTGATGGCTCCCGGTGGCAGCCGGGGGGCATCATGGAAAGGGGGGCATGAGGAGTTGCCTTGGCCGGGATTTCAGGGGGCTGGGAAGGCTCCCGCCTTTGCCAAGAAACTCTCCTCTCCTTCCAGGCGCTTCCTCCCCTCTCTCAAATACACGCCGGCCCACCACGAAAGGTTCCTTCCCTGGGTGAAGGGCAGGCCTCTCTCGAACTACCATTTCCTTGTAGCGAAGACGCATGTCACGCTGCTAGCTGTTTGTCCTTTACTGCGAGTTGTCAGGACCTCCTCTGGGGTAAAGCCGGACGGGGGTGGTGAAGGCCAAAGGCCACGCCCCCGGTGCACTGAGCAGGCCGGAAGGGCGGGAGGAAGCATCTGAAACACAGCCCACATTTGCTAAATGGGCTTGGAGGGACCCCAGCCCCCAGGTGCCGTCTCCCCAGGCTGGCAAATAGCCTTTTCAGATGGTGGGAGTCCCGGTGCCAGAGGACGGCCCGCAGGGCTCGGGACCCAGGCAGGTTCCTGATCCTGGAGGGATCTCCTGATGGCCCCTGTTCTCTCCCCCACAGACCCTCCAAGAAACAGTTACCAGAAGCCATGACATGTCCCTGCAGCCGGAGGCCTTCCGGGGAGGGCCGAAGAGGCCTCCGGGGCCCAGCGTTACGTGCGGACGAAGGAAGGTAGGTGGCGGAGCTGGGGCTGCACCCCCACATCCCACCCTGAGCTTCTTTCCTCTCTTTCCTCTTCATTTCCTGAATGTGGAAGGCTTCTGTGTGGGGCGGTGGGCGGGACAGAGGCCATCACTGGTTAGGAAGTCCAGAGCGGGGCCTGGACAGAGTGGGGACAGAGGAACAGATTCACTCATTCCTCCCTTTCCCTGCTGCTTTTAGGACCTGAAAACCAGAAGGGACTTTTTGGGTGAGGCCACAGGGTATGGTAGGCTGCTCCCTGCTTGACCTTCTCCATCTCTCCAGCCTCTGCCTTCTGGAAGCTTGCCCTGCCTGGCCCCCCCTTGTCCTCGGTGGTCTCCTTAACTTCTGTTTCTACTTCTGCCTCTGGATGCCACTGCCCCTGTTCCTTCGACCCTTTTGGTGGAAGCCAATCTCTCCACGGCTTTTCAATCAGTATGGGTCACAGGTGTGGGAAGATAACGGTGTCTGTTGTCCCCAGGACAGCAGGGTGGGCCTTGGCCAAGCATCTCTTGTACCCAAATGTGCCCTTCCCGTAATCTTTTCCATGTGTGATGTGAAATCACAAGGTTTAGAAAGTACTGCCCCACCAACGTATGTTTTCCGCCTCCAACATCCAGGCGTCTTTGCGTACTTTTTCGATTCTTATCACCCTCTCTTTCTTTTGTCCACAGAGAAAGATTGGCACCATCCAATACCCCACAGGTGCATAGCCCACTGACTCTGAAGGCAAACACCTTGCTTCACCCCTGCTACTGTCCCTGAGGGTCAGGAATCTCTGACCTGACACCAAAGCTTCCCCCATTGGTCACCACAAGGGAGGCTAACGGTATGGCCCACCAGTGCCCATTTCCTTTCCCCTTTGTCATCCAAGCCTCAGTTGGAAATGACAAGAAGCTTCCAGGTCAGACGCCATCACCTGGTCCCCTGGAGGAGGTTTCAGTCCTGCCGAAGTCACACAGCCTCTTCACCCACTTTTGAGCTAGTCCCAAGAAGAGCCCCTCCCTCACCAGACTCTTGGTGTGTGATGCCATGACGTGTGCTCATGGCCGACCCCATTCCATATTGACCTGCTTTTCAATCCCAGGCTAAGGCTGCATTCTCGTTGTCTCGATACCTCTTCCTCGTGTGCTCCTAGAGGGCAAGACACTGTTTCTCATGCATTTCTGGATCCCTGGAGATTAGTTTAGCGCTTGGTATGCATGCCCAGGACATCCTTTTTTTGAATAAAATTATTTCAAAATGGCGTCTACAAGTGTTAAATGTCTTCTCTGAAATTAGAGGTGAGAGAGGCAGAAGAGAGCTTGAGATAATCTGATGTGCTCAGGAGAAAGATGAATGGGGCGAGGAGAGAGTAGGACAGACGTGGTGCGTTTAGGTCAGGGTTGAGGGACCCAGTTTGCCTACTGGTGTGGCGTCGTTGAAACTCAGCGACATACTAGGCTGATCTTGAAGGCACTTCGTAGATTTCAGATTCAGCGTCTATTGATTAGATCCTGAAGCAATGTGCTTACTGTGAGTAACAGTTTTTGCTAAATCACTGGAAGAAGGTACATCCCATCAGACTCTGATCAAACAGGAATTTTTGGCTGCCGAGGTAAGGCTCTAGGAATTGCAGCGGAAACACAACTGGGATTTAAAATATTTATCAACCCGCTTTCTCTATGCACGCTCCTGCTATGCTACTCCATTTGGTGAAGAGATCATAACTAGGCTGGGTTTCTAGTTATGGCTTTAAAAGCTAGAATCTCGGGACACTTAGGTGACTCGGTTAAGTGTCTGACTTTGGCTCAGGTCACGATCTCTCAGTCTGTGAGTTCGAGCCCCACGCCGGGCCGTGTGCTGACAGTTTGAGCCTGGAGCCTGCTTCGGATTCTTTGTCTCCTTCTCTCTCTGCCCCTTTCCTGCTTATGCTCTGTCTCTCTGTCTATCTCTCTCTCTCTCTCTCTCTCTCTCTCAAAAAGTAAATAAACAATTTTTTTTTTTAAATTGGGGTGTTCTGGGTGGCTCTGTCAGTTAAGTTTCCAACTTCAGCTCAGGTCATCATCTCACAGGTACATGAGTTCGAGCCCTGTGTTGGGTTCTGTGCTGACGGCTCAGAGCCCGGAGCCTGCTTTGGATTCTGTCTCTCTCTCTCTCTCTCTCTGTGCCCTTCTCCTGTTCATGCTCTGTCTCTCTGTCTCTGTCTCTCTCAGAAAGTAAATAAACATTAAACATTTTTAAAATATTGGGGCACCTGGGTGGCTTGGTTGGTTAAGTGTCCGACCGGCTCAGGTCATGATCTCACAAGTTCGTGAGTTCAAGCCCTGTCTCGGGCTCTGTGCTGGCTGCTCAGAACCTGGAGCCTGCTTTAGATTTTGTGTCTCCCTCTCTCTCTCTCTCTGCCGCTCCCCCACTCATGCTTTGTCTGTCTCTTTCAAGAATGAATAGAACATTAGAAAAATTTTTTTAATAAATAAAAAAATAAAAGCTAGAATCTTAAACTGTGTCTGGGCCTCCCCAAGGTGGAAGTTTGCAGGTGAGATTAAAATGCGGGGGGAATTGTGTCTGCAGTGAACGTTCCTGTGTGTGCCTGTGCACGTGGACGTGTATGGTTTTCGTTGGCATGTGCCTGTGTGTTGGGTTCAATGTTCTCTAGACGACTAGAGCCACAATGTTCTTGCATCCATTGCCTCCACTACCGGACCTTGCCCAGGGGATTCCTGTGATATTGTGACTCAACAGAGTAGGGTGTTGGCAAAGAGGCGAATAGCATGTCTAAGCAGAGAGGGAGACTGCACAGTGATGGATGGGTGGTGACCTACCTGTAGAACCACGACGCCTGTGGACTCACCTCTTGTGTAGCTCCCCAGTCGTGTCCCTCTTCTCTGTCCTCACTGCCTGTGCTGGAATTCAGACCATCATCTGTCCTCTGAACCTATTAAACCTACCCTACTACCACCATTGTCCATACTGTCCCCAGGATGATCTTTCTCGAACTTAAATATGATTGAGTTACTCATGAGCCACAACCCCACCCACTCTTTGGCCTGCAAGTCCCCGCTTGCTCTCCGCCCATCGCCCCATCCTTCCTCCTTGATCCCAACCATGTAGGATCCTCAAGCACACCTTGTGTTTTTCTGCCTCGACGTGCACTCTGCCCTTCCTCCTCCTCTACCTGGTGAGCTTTCAGTCAGCCTCCAGGTCTACTTTTAGCCTCCCTGTTCCCGTGTTAGGTTTCTGTTTCAACTTGGCTAAGACAGTAGCCACTTACTCAAGCACTAATCTAGGCACTTCTCTGATGGCATTTTGGAGATGTGGTCAACAAGTGCCATCAGTTGGCTTTAAATAAAGGTTATCTTTGAGGATCTAGAGGTACCTTGCCCAATCAGTTGAGCGGCCTTAGGAGGAAGACTGAGGTCTTGTGGAAGAAGGAGAAATTCTGCCTCAAGTCTGCAGCATCTACTCCTGCTTGAGAGTTTCCAGCCTGAAGACATGCTCGAAAATTTTAGGATCTGCCCAGCTAGAACCCACAATCACATAAGCCGATTCCCTGAAATAATTTTTCATCTCTATCTTTATGTGTGTATGTATGTATCTATCTGATATCTATCTATCTATCTATCATCTATCTGACGTCTATCTATCTATATGATATCTGATATCTATGTATCTATCTATCATCTGACATCTATCTATCTATCTGATATCTATCTGATATCCATCTATCTGATATCTGACATCTATCTATTTATGTATCTATCTGACATCTATCTATCTATGTATCTATCTAATATCTATCTGTCTGACATCTATCTATCCATCTATCTAATATCTAACTATTCACCTATCTATCATCTCTTATCTATCTATCTATCTATCTATCTATCTATCTATCCATCTATCACCTATCTATCACCTATCTCTATCTATCTATCTATCTATCTATCTATCTATCTATCTACCTATCATCTATCTGTCATTTACCTACCTAAATACTTATCTAATATACTACTGGTTCTATTCCCGTAGAGAAGCCTAACTGATTGACTGTCATTTGCAATGTTGAGAAAAACATCAGTTGGATTCACTGGAGATACACACACACACACACACACACACACTCACACAGATATATATATCATATATGATATTTATATATATATATGATATATATATAAGTCTTAAGAGGCTTTTTTATTTTTAACGATTTTATTTTAATTATTTTTTCCACTGACTACAAGAGATCCTGCCTTATCTGTCTTAGCATCCCTTAAAGGTGTCCGCTAGATCGTGCTCTCTAGATCGGTGTTTGCCGACATGGCAGAGCTAGGGTGGATTCGGTGGCTCTCAATCCATAAAGTCAGGGGTGCCAGAAGTCTCATGCTGTTTTCTTTCCATCTGCCTCCCAGCGCCTCTGCTGTCAGAATGCAGATTTTTTTTAAAGAACATTTTTTCTCCTTTGTAATAAGGGTTTTCTCCTTTTCAGAGCTGTGCAGGAAGCCTTGGGTCTTAGGGAGCCCCCAGTTGTTGGGAGAACCCCTCAGGTCATGTGTCAGAGGTCACTGGTTCAGGCAAATGCTTTTTCCATGCCTGTAACCCAGCTCACATGGCCTCACGGTCCCTTGGACGCAAAGGCACTGGTGTTTTTTGGCCATACTTGGGTTGGTCTTGTGTCTGAGGTTCAGCCTCACTGTGAACCCCATAGCTTCCCCTCCCTGAGGGCTCCCCACTTCCACCGCCGTGTCTCACCCCCCTAAGTGGGACCCATCGCTTTTTATCTCTTAACCTTCTAGAAAGAGCTTCTTTCTCCTTTTGATCAGTTAAGATAACCCGTCTCTTTCTTTCGATAGGACAAGGAAATAGCATCTTTTCTATGAGGTCAGGCTTTTAAGAGAGTCAGAAGGGCTGCGGATTTTAAGCAGCTTCCGGCAAGAATCCCTATAGCAAGAAGCCTCAAAGGGTCTGCAAAATCAAACACGACTTGCTTAATAAACTATGCTCACACGGATGATTATCCATCCATCTGCCCGCTGTAACGTCTCTAACTTTCCAGAACGATAGCTGTGCAAAAATGGCACTGACATCAAGTGAATGTTTTTGCCCGTTTGTGTGCTTGTATTTTCTAAATATTTTATGATAACACGATACCTTTATAAAGGGAGAGACTCTTATTAAGCCAGAAGAAGTTAACACAGCCAAGAGCAATTTCTAAAGCCACAAGACTCCGGCTCAAATTCCAGCTTTGCAGTTTGCTTGGTCAATGACTCCTCCACCCCCCTCAAAGTTTTGTTTTCTGAATCAAAGAAGCCAATGCATGTAAAAATTCTGGGTATATGCTAGTGCCTATTTCTTCAACACAGTATCGGAGCTATCCCCTGCACTGGATTGTGAGTTTGGTGGTAAAACTGGGTCTCCCCCTCTTTTTCCGCCGCCATCCAGAAGGTCCTGGTTCTTGGAAGGTAAATCAAAAGTTACTTGTTGAATGAAAAACCAAATGAAGAGTGTATTTCTCCCCCCTCCCAATCTCTAGATCTGTCATCCCCAAACTTCGATCATTCCCCGTGTCGAACATCCTCACCTAGAGCCCCGGCTCCCCTGTGAATACGTACGTGTTAAACACACTGGTTCTTCCGGATCGTGTGACAAACTACATGCAGGGGCTTGAAGCAGCTAGTGGAATTTTCCCACACCACCTGTCACGAGCCCAACCATACACATGCTTCTCTTTCGTTTTTATGTTTTTATGACTTTCTAATTACCTGAACACACACATTTTCTATCAT